TGGAAGGCTGCAATAAGATCACCCCAGAGCCTTCTCTTCTCCAGGCTGAACAACCCCAACTCTCTCAGCCTGTCTTCGGAGGAGAGGTGCTCCAGCCCTTGAATCATCTTCCTGGCCTCCTCTGGACCTGCTCCAACAGCTCCATGTCCTTCTTCTGTTGGTGTTGCAGAGCTGAAGGCAGCACTGCAGGTGAGGTCTCACGAGAGCAGAGCAGAGGGGCAGAATCCCCTCCCTCGCCCTGCTGCCCATGCTGCTTTGGGTGCAGCCCAGGACACGGTTGGCTTTCTGGGCTGCCAGTGCACGGTGCCAGCTCATGTTGAGCTTCTCATCCACCAGCACCAAGTCCTTCTCCTCAGGGCTGCTCTCCATCCATTCTCCACCCAGCCTGTTTGGGATTGCCCTGACCCATGTGCAGGACCTTGCACTTGGCCTTGTTGAACTCCATGATGTTCACGTGGTCCCACCTCTCCAGCCTGTCCAGGTCCCTCTGGATGGCATCCCTTCCCTCCAGCCTTGCTGAATGACATCCTGATCGCCCCGCCAGGATTTTGTGACAATCACTCAGAGGCTTTTCCGCTCTGATACTCATCCTGGCTAGAGTCTTCTTCCTCCTACATTATAAGCTAAAAACCACATTGATACATCAAACTTTTTTGTTTTCAATTAAAATAAATAATCACTGTATTTCGTTAACAGGTAGAGTTTCATTCCAGTACAGCTCTTTATATAATTTACATATTTATTTTAATAAAAAGAAATAAATACTTCTCTTTTTGCCAGAGATAACTCCCTGGAGACAGAAAAAATAAAACAAACAACAAAACAACAAACCAACCCCAACTACAGGGGCTTCACTATGGATTTGTTACAAATCAAAAGATGGTAAAATGCTTCTTTTCTATGGTCATCACAAATCCAGTTTTAGGAATCAAGTAGATATTTCAGAAACAGACAAAAAAAAAAACCAACTCTCTTTGAGGAAAGAGTAGCCAAGTGCGTCGTCCTGGGGAAGATAAGTTGAGCTGACACAACTGTTCCCACCACCACGTCCGAGAGTCCCATTCATCCAGAACGTGGCCAGGTGTGCTGCGAGGTGGGAGCACCCAGCTCGGCGCCGGAGGTTCACAGCGTTTGTTCTTAACCCTTCCCTTGGTGAGGTCCCAGCAATCTCTCTGCCTTGCATCAGCTGATTTCCAAGAGAGGGACTGACTGTCTCCGAAATCGGAGCGGGGAAAAAAAAAAACACACAGACAAACAACAGAACAACTTAACCACTACTTTATAGCCTAAAAAGGAAAATTTGTGTGCCTGCTGCCTTCTCAAATAAGGTATTAGAAAAATAACTAAGAGTTTGTCACCCCTAGGTGATCACAGTGTTACTCCAATAGTGCACGTTTCACAGCAGCTGCTGATGGATTATCTCCCACACCATCTTCTTGCGGAAGTAAGGCATGTGACTCTGGAAAGAGAAGAAGAAGCCATTAAATATGGAGTCACGGCAGAAAGAGGCAGAAAACACACACAAACACCCGGTTAATTCTTTAACATGAAGCTCCTTTTAAGAGCTGTCAACACTTGCCAGCTGGGTACATCCTGAGTTTCACCCACCCAGCTCCTAAGAGGGTGACAGGACAACCCAACAGAACCAGATGTACTTGGCCACCCGACAACTGACAAGCACTTTGATGTGAGACCACCGCGTTGGAAAACAACCAGTGTTTTAACTGGTCAAAGGGCGAAACCCGTTTCGCCAAAAGACACAAAGGTCAGACATCACAAACCCTCTGGCTGCAGCACCTGCCCCAGAGGAACATCTCACGGCTTCAGGTAGGAAGCAGATACCAGGTGTAAGGATGGAGACTCCAGCTCTGCCCTGCTGAGGGCACTTTGAAGTTCCAACCTCACCAACTGGGCACCGAAAACGGGGCGAGGTACAAAACTTCAGCCCCTGCCCCAGACACAATGAACTGCTGCTGCATCACTTCCCTGGCTCTTTTATCCATGTGAAAAAAAAAATCTGGAGCTGTTCATGACCTTCGCTCACCTGAGTAAAGGTTATGGGTTTGTCTCTGGAGATGTAATCGGCGAATTTGCACATAAAAACCCCGCAGTCGCTTCCGTTCGATTGCTGAGGAATTTCCTAATGAGTGCAAAGAAGATGGAGAGTTTTCCTCTATCTCAAAAGCAAAACAATTGGGAAGGAGCACAAGTTCTCCGTACCAACGATGCACTAACCAGATGCTCACCCCTCCTGCACGCAAGGACCAGACCCAATTAGCCCCCCCATCATCCCTCCCCTCTGCTCCCTTTATTGGGATGTTCCTATCCCAATTCTGGGCAGGCTGAGAAGGGATGGCAGCCTTCCTCCCTGCAAAGTCCTCAGGTTTGCACAGCGCCGTGTTTCTGAAATCCAGGCTTCAGATGGTGCTTCTCACTATGAACTCGTTGAGAAACAGCACCTCAACCCTTGCCTTCGTCCCACGCCAGGATTTGTGCTCCAAGCGAGAATAATTATCCCAAATCCAAATTTTCAAAGCCTACGTGCTCTGATTCTTAAACAGATTCTTAAATTTGCTTGTGAAACGGCGGCAAAGCCAGGTTCACCTTCATGTTGTGGACTAATTAAAAAAAAAACAATTTAGCCAGGAAGGAGAGGCACTCCTTGAAGATTTCATCCCAGAGTGGTTCCCTGGTCCACTTGCAGCCTGATGTGGCACCATAAGAACACAAAATGCTCATGGCCATTGTCTAAAGGCTTGAGACTTATCAGAAAGCGTGAAGACCCTCATAGAATCATAGAATCGTTAGGGTTGGAAGGGACCTTAAAGATCATCTAGTTCCAACCCCCCTGCCATGGGCAGGGACACCCTCCACTACACCAGGTTGCCCAAAGCCTCATCCAACCTGGCCTTCATGACGAGGAGTTAAAGTTCACATTTCCAACCCAAGTAGTGCTCACGTACGTATGACTCCATGCTGCGGAGAGTCCACTCTGAAAAAGTCAGCTCCAGGTTTCTTCTTTCCCGGCTTTCGTTTAGGTTGTATTGGCTGTTTAAAACAAAACAAACAAACAAACAAAAAAAATCACTCTTCATCTCCGTAATTTAGGCCAACGAAACAAAAATTGCTGGAGGAAACTGGATGGCAGGACGGTAAAGTGTCAGAGGATCTTCACAGCAGCTGATTCAAGGCATTTGGAGGAAAAAGTCCAAATCTTAAATTGACAAACACAGTGAGAGGTTGCGAGCTGATGGTTGCTGGTCAGGAATGAGACCAACAATTCCAATAGAGACTTCCACGGTTACTGGTCAGGAATGAGACCAACAATTCCAATAGAGACTTCCACAAAAGCATAAGCTCATTGCTTAGTAGGGGTCAAAAAAACCTCAAATCATCTGATATCAGAGGAGGAACAGAAAAACCAAGCAAGGAACCATAATTCCATAATTCCACCGTGGGCCTTAATCCCACATACTGGGTGCACCTATGGAAGAACAAAACTTTTGGGCTAATACTTCTGGCTGAGCAAGTCTTCAGGCCACCAGTTGCTGGCAGAGTACTCTTGAGGAAAAAAATTATTCGATGCAGACCTCGTAAGAACCTGTAAGGTTCTTCTGCCCTTTCCCAGGCGCCTGCTGTTAACTGTTCAGGACAGCACTGGGCAAAAACACCACTCACTTTGTTCCTGCGGGGCTGCTCTCCCACTCTTGCTCTGCAAAGTGGTCGGATTAAGGGTTTTGACCACTTCTGCATCAGTGGTAAAGACATCTAAGGACGGTGGCGTGCCATGCCAGCTGATACGTCTGGAAAAGCTTCGTACAAGACATCTGTCTCGAATGTCTCCTCAGACAAACTGAGGAGGAGCATGTTACGTAGCTCACTAGTAGAAATGCTGAACGTTACAAGTGAGGGGGAGGGAAATTTTTGGCTTTTTTGCCTTTATTGCTTAGCTCAATACAAGAAAAGGATAAAAGAGCTGAGCAACAAAGAGTAAAAGTCCACGTGTGTGTGGCTGAGCACGAACAGGAGTGTGTGTATCCCAGGACACCAACGTTACTGAGTTGCCATCTGGAAGTTCTTAAAGAAAGGGGAGGTGAAGAGCTCTTGGAAAACTGTGATTCTTTTACAGTCAGGTTGGTATTTTGAAACACTTCCCTGAAATTCCTCCCCCTCATCAACAGTCCAGTTTCACTGGAGGGGACGATGTGAGACGAGAGAAGTAGTCAGTGTCACACAACTCGCAGCAAGCGAATCAAAGATTCCTGTTTTGTTATCTACAGGAAACGCGAAAACTTGGGAGTCGTGTTACAGGGACAAAAATCCCCAAACCTTCTCATAATTCCCAATGTAAAGGCAGTGACTGAGCAGTTACTTACAACACAGTTTCACAAGTCTTGCCCCCTTTTTGTCCCATCGAGTCAAAGTACTTGATGGTCTTCTTTCTGATATCTATGACCTGTTATTAAAAGGTGACAGTTAGACAAAGCACAGCCTTGTGCTGCACACACCCCAAAACCTAAATGACTTTTATTGCCTGTTTTTTCCATTCTAACAGAAATTCTAAATAAATTCCATCCAATTCTAAACAAAAAGTCAGTTTGACTCACCACTAGTGTCCAGTGCAATCTCATGTGAACAGGCACGAAGATGAGGTCCTGCTTGAAGAGATCCACATCTCTGCTCCATCTCTTTACTGCTTTGTAGCCTCCAGAAATTAGTTTGGGATAAAAGAAAGTACTAAAAGCATGGACTGCTGGATATCCTTCCTTCTTACTTCTTTCCATCAGAAGACTCATGTAGAAATTAATGACCTGTACCATAAAGGAGAAACTTGAGATGTAGAGTAAGGCACTAGCTTAGCAAATAAAAAAAAAATACAGCAATGTGTCTTTGCTGGCCACCCTTAAGTACGCAGCTGGGAGAACTCCAGTTTCAGCTGGCAGCTTTTGTTTGGAGAATTTGGCACTTGGTTACTTCCACAGTTTGATAAAACCACCTGCCACCCGCTCCAGTAACCCAGACTAACTCCTGGAAGCTGCGTAACAAAAGAAGTAAAGGAACTTCCAGAAACACTAGACCCTTAAGCACCTAAAATAAGAACTGTACAGATGTTTCCAGACTCTGCAGTGGAGGTCCTCAAATAACTTGGAAAAGACTTCTGTCCACGGTGAAGAGGTAATCTTTAAATCCATTCTGAACTAGAACATCAATGCGCTGCAGTTAGTTTTACCATATCATTGAGCCACCGGAGGTTGCTCAGCGTCTGGATGTCCTCCCGAGTGACCTTGAGTTTGAAGGCACTGCTCATGATCTCGTCTGGCTGACCTCTGCCAAACGCGGCAACCACCTCTCTCTCCATGGCCTGCAACGAACAGGGAAGGACTCGTGAACCCGAGCACGGGGCACGCCAACCTGTGGGCAGCTTTCAGCCCAAACAAGCCCAAATTCAGCTCATGTGACGGAGCAACTGGCTTTGCCAGTTTGGTTTTTGCTAAGTTAGCAACAGCACCTTTTTCCTTTCTTTGTTGGTGTGTCTCAGCACCCTAACTTTTAGAGGGCAGGTTTGCTTCGATCTGTTTTCACAAAGCAAGCTGATACAAACCACCTGGAGTAGCAAACACCCTAAAGCAGCTGAAAAAACGACGGCAAGTGCAGCAAACAAACACCTTTCCCACGTGATGCTGCAGCCCTCGC